GATGAGGTGAGTACAAGTTTAAAAAGGAGGATGAAGGAGGGACAGAAGCCTTGGCAGGAGTTTGATTTCTGAAATCAAGTCAAGGAGCACTTTCTCTGCTCAGTTCGTTTATTTGTAGGTTTTTCAGCTGACCTGAGGTGTTCTGCAGTTATTCTATATAAGATTTATGGACTGATGTGATTAGAAAAAAAAGTAGTTTACGGACCTGAATATGCCTTTACTTTCTCAAGTACAAATCGGGACTAAGATAAAATTAGTATGAGAATGAGAGCCAGATTTTTTTCAGTTACACCCCAGTCTAGAGATTATTTTGTGGGAGAGGGAGAAAAATACAAACTAGTAAATCATATATGTTGTTTAGGCATTGAATTGCTTTCCTCAAAGTTAAATAAATTGTGCATGTTTGGGAGAACCATAATGCAAAGGCAGTGGCGTCAGCAGGATACAATTAAGTTGTGATTTGCCAAGCAGAGATGTGATACAGAAAACTCTTATCTGTTGTGAGCAATTCTATTTGGATTGCTAATGGACATTTCAGTCAGATTTCTCATGAATACAGCTGAGAAGAACTTCATTGGCTCTCCTGTAGCTATTCGAGCTTGCTTCCCTGAAATAATATTATACTTGCGAGTGTATCCATCTCTGCATGCATTCTCTTTTCCCTCATATATGTTTACTTTCATTTGTGAAATTAATGTTTGTGGGTTTTTTATCTTGTCTCTAATGAGCTGTAGCTTGGTGCAGTGTAGTATGTATTATATTTAAAGTACCAGTACAGATATGCCACGCTCTATAAAATGCAAGATCATCTCTTATAAATGGAGAAATGAATCATTTCTAAGGAAGGAAGTTAAAATTATAATTCAATCGAGGCAATTCTGTTCTTTGTTTTCAGACAGGAAGTGCACTATCTTAAGGACATCTGAATTTCATCTGTAATTACAAAGTTGTCGTTCCTGTATACAAACAATATAATTAAGTAATGCAAACAGATAACAGAATAAAAGAAGTTAAATTGTATTTTTCACTCCAAACAGATTCTTATTAATTCCTGACAGAAAGTTGTCCTAATACCATGCATTATTGGCTAGTCCACTACTGAGACTATCACCAATGGGCTAAGCTACGAAGGCTAGAGGTGGGTAGGCACACTCCTAACTAATTGCTATGCAGAGTTTTTCAGGTGTCCATTTTAGAAACAAACAAAAGCATCATTTGCCTGATGCAATATGTGAAGTGATCTTTTTCCTATGCAAAGCCTGTATTTCTTTACTCTTCAGGACAGAACTTTAGAGACCAAATTGTATATAGCGGAAAAAATGTGAAGGTTCAGCTTTAGAAAAGGAAGAAACAGGAACATACTTGCATGTTTCCCAAGGCCATTTTACAGAATTCCTGCTTCCATGGATTTTCAACAGATGAGCTTATAGTTTCTTGACTATATATTCACTGAGATTGGCTAGTTCATCTTAATTCCCAAGATCAAGACCTTAAATACATGACTCTGATATACAAGACTGTCAAATACACTGGAAAGCTGCTGCGGCACCCAAAGAGTCAGTGTGGAGGCTGAAGCTGAGCAAGTGGGAAAGCTGGTGCTTGTTCTTCATGACTGGTGGCTCCCCAGAGCCCAGTCCAACCTTCCCTGTTCATTAACAAATGGCAAATGAGCCTTCCTGTACCTGCATTGGTACAAGTTCTTTGTTTTCCATTAGGTCTATAGGACATTCTATTCTTTTTTTCCTGGTGCCATGTTAGTGCCTTTAAAGTTTTGTTTTGCTAGTAATAGAAATTTATTTTCATTCTTCTTTTGAAATATGGATAAAGAGGTTTCTACGAATGCATACTCAGCAAATGCATCGATCTGTTCTAATTAATGAATTAGCCATTCAGTGCTACGGTAGTTCCCTTTATCTCTAACCATTCCCAGTGAATTATTTACATAGTGACATTTCTTTATTAGCAAACTGCCATTTGCGTCACTTTTACATTATTGCTCTCATTATTAATTATACTTTTAATAATTCTTTACTGCTTGGTCTCATCAATAAAGAAAAATGGATGGTGCCCATGAAGCATTTAGCCTTATCTTAATTCCATACCCCTAACGCTATTGCCAATAGCAGAAGAGTAGATACAAAATACCTTAACTGGCAGTTCTCCCCTTTTGTAAGTTCCCTTGTCTCCTTTTCTCTCCTGTTTGCCAGCATCCCTCAGTTTGTTCTGTAAAAGCAAAGGATGTTTCTGTATTAATGACTATTTAAATAACAGAATTACATTGCTATTGTACTTGCTTCTTTCTGTCCCAGACAATGACTATGAATTAATTAGCATTAGAACACTGGAAATTCCTATGAATTTTAACATTTTATTTGGAACAGTCTGTGTGCGTTATTGAATGATTTTGCACCGCCTAATGCAAAACTGATGATATCTCTACAAACCTCTGGGGAGCATTTGAGGTCATTAAAGTTAGATTTGCAAAGAACGTACATGGATTTCGCTCTCACATTATTCTTTCCTGTGCTGATAATGCTATTTTTGAGCTCTTGCTCAGGATGGCTCATTTGTATTGAAAGATTCTCTTATCCTTTATCCTATTCATCTACCTTTCCAAACTTTTAATTTCATAAGGGAAATGAACTGTGGTTTCTCAATACTTAAAACATTCTTACAGGAGAATGAGAACTTAGGTTTTCAGCTGTTAGTGTTATCTCCAGAGATAACGGTCACTGAAAGGCAGCCCAGCACGAAAAGCAAATATACATGTCAGAAATGAAAATAACAATTTATACCATGTCTCCTTCCTGACTGCATCACTGATAGTTTATTCCCTCCATGAAGGAGGATTCCAGAAGTAACATTGGTATTTTGGCATCCAGGCATCTGCGTGGGAAGAAAAATGATGACGTTTTATTAAAAATTCTCCCTGGAATCCTACGTTTGTTCTATGTTTCTGCTGATTGTTTATTATTATTTTGGGGTTTAAAACAAAGGTTTTTTGAATTCATGGGCGCTCACAACATAATTAGCACCCTGCCAGTGACTGAGGGAAAGACACTGGCAAATGCAATCCCTCCTGAAAGCAATGAATCCCTCTGTACTACTTACTGAGCAAAAGCTTAGTGTCTTAAGCCAGGTGGATTGCTTAAATAGATTTTTTTTTTCCCTTCAGAATCAGGTATTATATCCATAACCTACATTTTTCTGTTTTAAAATAAACTTTTTTTTCAAAAGTGAATAGCAACATGCATTTAGGCTTAAACTTACCACTCTGTATTAACAAAATTTGCATAAAATTTATAAAAATGTAAGTAATATATTCTTGATGGTTACGTTCTAAAGAAAGCTATTGAACAGGAAAGAAAAATACTGTTTATGCATCCAGAACCAAAGGTTGTTCAAATAATTAAACAGCTTTTAACATCAGGCAAAAGAAATGTTTTCTTAATTTCAGTTTGATTTACTTCAATAACTAGTTCAAAGTTAAGGAACTGCTTAGAAATAGAGTAAGCTGAAACATCATTGTTTTTAAATCATCTATGAATAAATTCTCAGTCTGGGATGTTGAGACTTATGAATTCATTCATTAACTGTACATAAAATTTGCTTTGGTAATAAGCCAGTTTTAAGTATAAAATATTTGATATATTTTTCCACTGTATACAACATATTTATTGCAATTTTATTTAAATAATAAATAGACTTAAAAGGCTGGTTTTTTACATTTCAATTGAATTCCCATTTCCATCAAAAGCAGCTTGTTATGAGTCATAAGTAAATAAAAATTAATCTTCCAGTAAAGAAGAATTATCCTTCATTTCTAACAGAATGCTATGTAAGTATTAAGCATTTGAATAATTATGCTGAACTATATCACTTCTTAAATGGGAATGTAAGGTATTTTTGTGGTAGTGTATGGAAGTAACAGAATAGTTTAAAAACTAGATTCACTTGCAAAGCAACTGTTTTTTAAGTTTACCTACCAACAACAATCAAACTCACTTGAGGAAAAGAGAATAATACACATTCAAAATAAGCACAGAAAGGTTTTTTTAAAAATGTGTTTATGGGTTTTGTGTTTTCAAATGAATAGGAATTATTTTAACAAAAAAAAAGGTTGAAAATGTCATGAGGAATATTTTTATATTGATTTCTTTTTGTGAAAAGTATTTGACAGGTTTTCCAGAAATATTGTAGTTCAGGGCCTTATAAAGAGGCAATTCTGTGATCTATGGGAGACAGAATGGCTATGTGAACATCAAGTCATAATTCCCCGCTTTAGGAGCATCTATACTTAGAATTTTAATTTAGCAGAAAATTCCAACATTTCTGAGATTAATTTAATTTCCAAATGGACGGAAATAAAGTCTTGACACTTCCTATTTACTAAAATTCTATTTAAAAGTGGTGGAAGTAGCAAAATGGGCAATAATTTTCCCTCAGCAAGGGTAAGGCAGTTAGTTTAAACTTTGATGTAACAAGAGTTACATTAATTTATTTTGAAAATATAGATTTATTATTACATTGTTATTGATTTAGTTTATGTGTATAGGATGCTGGTATTTTAATTCGAAAGACTTGGTTGCTTTATATTAGGCTTCTTTAATGACTTATCATAATTGAAAAATTCATATTCTTTCTTTAAAACAATAACTGTGGTGGGTCCTGTTAAATCACACGGCTGACACCTATTCCCAGCTTGCTCAAAGATGGGAATTAATGCATTTGTGTCAAGACACAATTGCTGGAGAAGCGTTTCAGAGCATAGTTGGCTGGCCGCTTGCTCGTGTGTATCCAACAGGCCGGCGGGCTTATAAGGGGAATGAAATCTCAGCAGTGGAGGCCCATTTCTCAGTGCTGGCTGAGCTGAAGGAGAAGTAGGAGATTTCATTATGTGAGTAGCGAAGAGCGCATTTAAAGCAGCGAGGATCTCACTGGTTTCAACTAAGTGCTGATATACCAATTATGCCTTAACTGCATCTCCTGTTTCCTCCTAGGTCTTACCGCTGCAGCATCTCTTGTATCCCTGGCTTGGGCTTTGGCTTCCTACCAAAAGGCCCTTCGTGACTCCCGTGATGACAAGAAGCCCATCAGTTATATGGCTGTTATAATCCAGTTTTGCTGGCATTTCTTCACAATTGCAGCAAGGGTTATTACTTTTGCTCTGTTTGCCTCGGTTTTCCAGCTGTACTTTGGGATCTTCATCGTGCTGCACTGGTGCATCATGACCTTCTGGATCGTCCACTGCGAGACAGAGTTTTGCATCACTAAATGGGAGGAGATAGTTTTCGACATGGTTGTTGGGATAATCTATATCTTCAGCTGGTTCAATGTCAAGGAAGGAAGGACACGCTGTAGGCTTTTCATTTACTATTTTGTGATCCTTTTAGAAAACACCGCCTTGAGTGCTCTCTGGTATCTGTACAAGGCCCCACCAATCTCTGATGCATTTGCCATACCAGCACTGTGTGTAGTGTTCAGCAGCTTTTTAACGGGCATTGTTTTTATGCTAATGTACTATGCCTTCTTTCACCCCAACGGACCAAGGTTTGGGCAGTCGCCAAGCTGTGCTTGTGAGGACCCTGCCGCTGCCTTCACCCTACCCCCAGAAGTGGCGACAAACACTCTACGGTCCATCTCCAACAACCGGAGTGTCACGAGCGAGCGGGATCAAAAATTCGCGGAGAGGGATGGGTGTGTGCCTGTGTTTCAGGTGAGACCCACTGCACCGTCCACACCGTCATCCCGGCCACCAAGGATTGAGGAGTCTGTCATTAAAATCGATCTGTTCAGGAACAGGTATCCAGCCTGGGAGAGACACGTGTTGGACAGGAGCCTGAGGAAGGCGATCTTAGCGTTTGAATGTTCCCCTGCTCCTCCACGGCTACAGTATAAAGATGATGCCCTTATCCAGGAGCGCTTGGAATATGAAACCACATTGTAAACAAAACAAAAACACAGCTTGAAGAAGCTCCGATGGTACAGTCCAAATTAAGGGTTGACAGTAGGGCTGTAGGAATAACTAAACTGCGTAGTACAAGCAGAGCAGCAAGCTGTAGTGTTCTTAGTCTGGCTATCATCATGATTATCATTTGATCCACTGTGTGCAGTCTGTCTGCAGGAGACTGATTCAGCAGCATCACCTGAAAGCCTCAAAACCACCCAAACCCTGACCCACACATGCAGATCAGTTACTTCAGCTGGGGAAACGCACCCACGGCTCCTTGCTGCTACGAAACTCTGACTGCACGGTTCTTACAATCAAACCAGTAGGGAGGCTCTGACCATAGCTTTCGACTTTAGCCAGTAGTGCATTTTATTTTAGAAACGAATGAGTGATATTTGCATAGTCAATGGCAAAAGCAAACAAACACACGAACAAAACCTTTTCGAAAATAACAAAACTGTAGCACTCAGCGTTGCTGTTATGAAAACTGTTTTCTGGGGAAAAAATAGGCACATAGTAGTCTTCAACACTCCCATAAATCAACCTTTCAGGTTAGAATAGGTTTGCAAAATAGTTCTTAATTAAAAAGGTACATCATCATGTTTGTAAGGCTGTCAATGGAAAATAAACTAAATTCTGATTAATTAGGTCATAAACATGAATACTACCAGAACTGTTTGTTTTCTGTGGAATTTCAAAGTCTTTTTAAATGCAGGTTAAGTTCTTTATGTTACTTTCAACAGAAATCCTATGCAGCTCACTTCTGGTTTTCAGGAGAAATAAGGAGCTCTAGCACGTAGTGATGTAAATTAAATGATAATCATGATTCAGTGTTCAATTTGCAAAAATATATATATATATATGTAAAAGAACAGGGAAGTATAGTTTTCGTATTCTAAACTTTTTGGAGGACCCCATTCAGATATTTCGGAAGAAACTACGAGGAGATGAACACACTGAAACTTCTCTGTTTCAGGACTGAGAACGCATGATTCAGTGTGTGAATGTATGCAGGGGTGACAAGAGACTGTGACATGCCATACCCTTCTAGTGCCAAACATTGTATAACCGCGAGGTTGATATTGCCGGAGGGACAGATAACGAGTGGCACGAGCCCTACCAGAACAAAAAGCAGGAAAGACCGATCAAGTTCTCAACGTATAGAGACAGCTCTGATTTTTCCCACCCAAGGTGAAAGCGATGTCTTTTAAAGGCTTTCAGCCACCACTTAGTAAGTATATTCACTGAAGTAGAATATAAGCAAGTTTTGTGGAAGACCCTCTTCTGCCTGTTCAAGACTTGTGTCCAGATACGTCTAAAAATTGCGTTGAATCTCTTGTAATAGAGTGCTTTGGCTGCAAGCTTTTGGGTTTTAAATACCTCCCTAAATCTAGTCAATGGTATCCTCCTTTATGTTAAAAGTATCCCCTGATGGTGCTTTCAGATGCATTAAAGGTGCAAGTCAAAATTTGATAGTATTTTTTTTAAAGCTGGTGCAGAGTGAAAAACTCATGAATTATTTCAATATTTTTGTAAAGTAAAAATATGGTATAAAAAGGTTACTTTTTATAAACCTCAAATCTTTTAATACATTTCATTCTCTTTATAGCTTAGATTTTAAGAATTGGTCCATGAATTTTATCAACTGGCTTCTGCAGGTTGATATAAACCTGGTTTTCACACATTATGGATTTGTTTTGCAGTGTAATGCCATATGAAAGCCTACATGGGTACTTTTAGAATACTCTATAAACCGTGGATCCTGCTTCAAATGTAAGTGGCTTGTAAAGGCACCAAGCGATTCCATTAGAAACAATTTGCTATAACTATTTCCATCCGTTTTAGGAGAGCGAAGCAGAACTGAAGAGTTACTGTTGTAAATGGCATTGTCAGGATGGAGACGACCTGATGATTGGTATTGTAACCTCCGCTGTCAGGTATACCCCGTGTAGTCACTGCTGTACATGCTGCTGGGTAAATGTCAGTCTTTCCTTCCTGTTATGAATATTTGTACTACGAAATGGCCGAGGTTACACAGCCTATGTTTCTTTGTATGCGTTCGATTAGCCATTTTTAATGTTGACTTTTTTTATCAGTGAAATGTTCGATACCTGTTGTTCTTTGCTGGGGCGAGTTCCTCAAAACAAAACATCTGTGGAAGTGCAGGAATCTGCAAGTCAGAGGGAACTTTACACAGATCAGAAAACACCCGTGCTTCAAGGGTTTCTTAGGTATTTTCAAATTAAACAGTGGCCAACTGCCTCTATAATAATTTTTTTAAATAAAATAATTCTTTGATAGTCCGAACCTGAAGCTTTGTACAAAGTGACTGCCCTTCCCTCCATGGAGATATAGCTGATTATTCAGAGAAAAGCACTCATATTTTGTCAGAAATTATACCATTGTGAGAACCACTCAAAAAAGATTTTGGGAGCAAGTCCTTTGTCCTGACAAATTCAGTAGAGCCTTCACTCCAGAATCAAACGCTAGCTTGCATAAGGAAGTTGCTGGTTTTCTTTACAAACAAGGCAAATGGTAAGCTTTGTAATCTGAGATGAGAGGGATTCTTTTGGAAATGGTTCGATGTGTTTGCTGCTGCTTTAACAACTCAGAAATTCTAGCATGAGTGAGGCACAGCAGGCAGCACTCTTAAGCCCTTTGGTCAGGGCTTACAGAATCGAAGAAACATTGCTTCGTACAGAATTTAAAGGGTTACGGTCTGGACCAGCGCTTGCCTTGCAAGGGTTCTGAAGAGGGTTTGGGATGAGTTTGTTTGATTTGCTCTTGTTTGGTTTTGGAAGGAAGGACCCAGAGGCATTATTTATCCATGTGGTTTTTAATATCTAGCATTTGCTTTCTTTACTCTCCCAGCATTTTAAATTTTTTTTAATGTTTGTAAATTTATCTTAAGCAAAATACTGCAGGGTCTGAGTGCACAGCGCCATACGTGGCAGCTCATATACACAGCTTGTCTTCAGAATTCAATCTGGCTGCTTGAGGAAGGGGGAGAAGTCATTTTATACCAAGTCAGAATTTGCTCTCCAAAATCTTGCTCTGTTATGTTCGTAATGTCAGTGATATTTGCACTGGCAACAGGATGGCCGTTGAAATCTTAACTCTCAGATGACTACATGGACAGTTTCCTAATCTGCTTTGCTGTGAAGAGTCACATTAAAAGCTATAAGAATTTTTTATAGAAGTTATTCAAGATTAAATATAGTCCACATTGAAATCCTATGATGGCCTTACGGACAGTTAATAATCAATATGCACTATTCTTTTTACCACAGACAGTTTTAAGATCTATTAATGAAGTTCAATTAAGACAGCAATAGCAAAAAAAAAAAAAAAAAGTAAAAAAAAAATTAACTTCTGCTTTTGAAATAACAAAAAAAATCAGGTCTTTTAAATTTCATTCCAGAAGAACATGAAAATAAAAAAGTTCATAATTATGTTCTGGTAAAGAAAAGCAATCACATCTCTTTGTTAGAAGTAAGAGTCATGTAAACATTGTTCTAATGAATCAAACAAATTTGCCATCAGATTTAACAGTAACTTACCTGGTTAAAGATTTGATCCTTAAATTTCAAGAGTTGTGGATTTGTATGTTACAGAAAAGATAATTTAAGTAGTATTCACTACTCTAATCAGATAAAGGAGAGGTAATGCTTACCCATGTTCATTCAGAAAACATTAAAAAATGTAAGATAAACCTTTTGTCTTATTTTAAAAGAAATTTGTTCTATAATAAGATAATCTTTTTTTAAAAAATGAATTCTTTGAAAATGTGTGCTATACTTTTTCATGCAGATTTAATAATGAAAAAAACAATTTCCACTTTTGTTTACGTCAGTTTAAATATGCTTCGTGTGCTAGAACAATGTGTCTGTGCTTGGGTTATATGGGCTTGATGGCATGTAAACACTAGTTTCATTGGCAAATCATCAAATTTCCTATTAATTAATTTCTATAACATTTGAGAAAATTTTTCTTCCAAAATTAAATGTTAGGCCTCGGCTGCCTGATTTTGTAAACTTTTAAGCAGAGGAGGTAAATTAAAAGTTTATTGGAGGTGCAATTTTTAATACATGGTGAATAGCTATTAAACCCAAATTTGTTTAAAGTATGTGATAGCCTAGGCAATATATCATTATCCCCCCAAAAGAGCAATTTGTGAGTGGTACTAAAAGTACGAGTGCCGCTTTATTTGGAAAGGGACAACCCAATCACACAATATATTAATTTTCTTTTTATGGCCAGCAAATATTCGCAACTAGCCTGTTGGCTTTTTTAGAACCCAAATTAAACAATTTTGCAGTGTGTGATTTGATCATACAACTCCTTAAGAGCCTTAGAAGTGGCACTGTACTTAGTTTTAGTTGGCTCTGCCAGGGATTCAGCTCCCAAAGACACTGCCCTTCCTCCGCTCCATCCCTGGAGTCATGCAATCCGGAGTGACTGAGATGCTGTGATTTACTCTGCACCCCCTGCACTGCCTCCACAATGCCAAGGAAAAGACTTCAGCAGATTGCTGGGGTCCTACTGCTGCCTCTCTTGCTCCTGTGCATGGCGGGAAGCAGAGTAAATTGCATTTGTGCATCCATCTAAATGAGTTTATTTAGGTTGAGTCCCTACAAGAGGTGCATGATGAAAATAATCACAACACGTGTCCATGAATTTACAAGCCCAACACTGTAATTACTAATTCTGTAGTATAACAATGCAGAATTGGGGAAGAATTGTCTAAATACACAATAAGCCATTTAATTTTGCTAATTGTAGCAATTAGTCTAGCTCTCATGAAGCCCATGCTCTCAGCAGAAAGCCAAATGGAGTAAGTGGCAAACAGCCATTTATATACCAGAGACATTACGTTATTAAACCCTCCCTTGATTGTATATAGAATTATGTCTTTTCATTATGGCATTGAATCCATTCCTCTTTATGCTGATAAAACAGATAAAATGTAAAATGAGAACAGATTCTTTTAAATCTGG